CCTGGGGAGATTCAGAAACACAGAAAATGTATCTCTGTGTGCAATAACATAATATAATACTGCAACCTATCCCGGCACCTCTGTTAAACGATGCTGTATCTACATCGGGGTCATGTTGTGCTAGAGGTACACTCAGGTCGAACATGAACATTTTAAATGCACTCTGGAGATGTGGCATACCTGCTGAGAAGTTCCAATTTTCATTTTCTGCACCTGGCCACCGCGTTATATAAATCCCCACAATTGTCTGTATTCTCATTTTCCGAAAAAAAAGTCTTCTATCTGGGGCTATAAAAATACAGGAAAATGTATTCATGGGTCCTAACACCACCCCATTCCTGATCCAACTGCAGTTTCACAGACAGAGGAGAAAAAGAGGGAGGTTGCACAGGCCAGAATCATGAATCAGGAAGTTGAAGACCAACCAAAAAAGTAAAACCTGCTCAACCTGTCTGCAAAGGATTTAGAAAAACAGAAATAGACTTCAACCATATCTTTTAGTTTGTATAGAGCAGGGACATATTAGGACATCCTTTGTCCTATTTGTTAACATTTCAATGCCTACAGCTTCCAACCATATGTGTTTCACGATCTGCATCAGGCTCGGAGTCCAGTAGCTGAAACAGCAGGCAAAGTTGTAGTCAAACAGGTCAAGTTTGGTTTCACAAGCATGCGGTAGTAGTCTAGGAGCAGGCAGAAGCATAATCAGAGATCAAGCCGAGGTCAGTAGCCAAAGGTATCAGGTATGAAGTGGAAGATGATGAGAGTAGTGGGTGAATCAGCAGCCATAGGTCGGTACACGAATAGCAGTATGAGCGGATTGTATCACAGGAGGAGCAAGGAAGCAAGATCTTGGCAGGAGCACAATAATAATAATATGGCCAACAGGAAGTAGAGAGGCATGGCTCAAATAGGAAGTTCAAGGGAGGAGCAAGGAGTTCAGAGTTCAGCAGCTGATTAGGTAAGGAGCTCTCCAAGGTTCTAAGGTGGCTCAGCAGGTAGAACCACTGCCAGCTACAGCACAGGCCCTGGGTTCAGATCTGGTTCCATGACATTGAGACATCTCAACAGTTTTATAGTCACTTTGTTGGATTTAGAATCTTATACAGTGAACTGAACTGGTACTGTATAGTTTAGGCCCCATCCTCGGACATCAAATTTGTGTAGATTGTGCAGCTGAACAAGGGCCCTCTAGGACTTAAGGGACAATTTATACTAAATATGGGTAAGACAGTTGCTAGGACCCATTCCACTGTTATGTTGGCATTCTTAATGCTGCACTAACCATGCACCTGGTTTGTATTATCTTAGTGGTGTCAGCTGCAGACTCTTACCTCCAGCCCTGAGACATGCAGAAGAGTTCTTCTATTTCCTATTGGCTGTTAATACCATGTAGACTGAAAGGGAAGAGGCTCTGACCGGTAACATGTCATGTGGTTATGTGACACAGATAGGAGATTTGCTGTACATATCCATCAATAGGCATACAACTACTGTGCTGGTATTCAGGGCTTATTTTGGGAAGGAAAGAGGGACTATGATCTCTCTCTCTCTCTCGTATATATATAAATATGTATGGCTACATGTTTGTATGTTTGTGGCTACGTGATCATCATACCTACTACCTATTTGGCCAAAGTATGTGGACACCCTTCCAATTTGTAGAGCTCAGGTGTTTCTGAGTGAAGGATACTGTTAATATTCCAGCATGAACACACTATTTAAACAACTGTGCACTTCTAACCTTGTGGGGGCAGTTTGTGGAAGGTCATTTTCTGTTCCAACGTGAGTGTGGCCTTGGTCACAAAGACAGCTTCAAAGACATGGTTTGATGAGCTTTGCATGAAGGAGCTTGAGTGGCCTGCACCGAGCCTTGACTTTAACAACTATGGGATGAATTAGATTGTTGAATGTGAGTCTTCTTATGCAACATCACTGCCTGACCTCACAAGTGAAGGGCTCAAATGTCCACAGACACACAGCACAAGCATGCTGAATGCCTTCCCAGGACAGTGAAGGCTTTTACAACTATGGAAGCTTCCAACTAAAGACCATGATTTTGGAATGAGATATCCAACAGTCATCTGTAGATGTAAAAACCTTTTTCCATATGGTATACTAGTACTGGGAATGGGACCCCAAGAACAAATGTTATAGGGTGGAATGGGGTAGAATACTGGATTTTATGTACAACTACACTTAACATGTCTGTGGAGGTTCTCATTCATCCAGGTCATGGTATATTTGTACAAAATAAGTCAAGGTAACTGGACTTGCTGTATTTTTCTTGAAGACATTTCACTGGTCATCCAACCAGTGTACAAGTCATTCTGAATTGAGAAAGCTGGTCGGATGACCAGTGAAACATCTTCAAGAAAAATACAGCAAGTCCAGTTGCCTTGACTTATTTTTTACAGATACACTTAACAGTACAATTAATAGATTTTTCATGCTAAGTTTGCAGGGCCTTGGCTTGACTGCAGCGAGGAAATGGTATTCCTGAAGTTAACATTTCTATAGAAAATAAAAAAGGAATTTAATAAACCTATTCTAATGCTGTACTGATGGCTACAGATTTTAATTACGGATTTGATGTATCTCTTCGTATACACCATTAAACAACAATATTTATACGAGTGAAACGTAATTCAATAATCTCCATCAGGGTGCCTCATGGAACTGTGTGGAAGCGCCAGATATTCCAGGGAGAAAGCATTACTCTTTATTTATGAACTTCTTTAAAAGACTCCAGGAGCAGATGATAGTTCAGATCATTTATAGTTCAGATGCCTTTTCATATTGCCACTGCTGCAGGGGTTAAATTTATTGTTAGGGATTACGTTAAAGTGAACCGGTACTTTCCTTATGCTTTGAAAAGTAAAACATTCATTTAAATGGCTCACTCCCACCCTACTGCTTATCACCTTTTAATTGCACCCTGCTGCTTCATTCACCCGATGAAGCACTGTGAGCTATATTGGGTGCCTGGAGCTCCAGCAGGCAAACAGGGAGGTGAGGAAGTGAATGGAAGGTGTGTATAACTAGCCCAGGGGGTTGGGCAATTTTGCGAGCCTGTTAATTTGCCGTGCATGGGAAAATCATATATTTAATTTAAAGTAGAAATGTAACCAGATTATAGGCATTCAAATAACAAACAGAATAGAAAAAAAAGACAGCACACATTCCAGCTAGCCAGCATAAATAATGAAATACTAATTTACACATTTTTAACAATTTTGGTTTTTAGATGCATACATTGCAAATATACTCATCAAGGTCCCTCTGTGAATTGTGGTCTCTAACTTTAAACTATGAGACCCTCCATCTTGATACATATATAGCAATGTATAATTTGAGGTAGACATGTGCATCGGCAAAAACATTGTTTCCTTTTGTTTCGGATTATGCATTATTTCGTTTTTCGGGATTCGGGTCCGAAAGTCAATTCGTTTTGGGATTTGGATTCGGACAAAATTAATTAGCAGCAGTCTGTACGAATTTTCGTTTGTGCCCATGGGCATGGGGGCACCCTCCCAATGTCGAGGGCACGTGGCCGCTCGATCGTCCCCCCTGTCCTGCCCTGCCGGGCCAGTGCTCGGATCAAGGGTCTGGTAGGATTGTTAGACCCCACATTTTGTCCCCCATTTTGGGGGGGCTGGTGTTCCCCCTTAAAATTCCTACCAGACCTAAAGGGCCTTGTATGGATTTTGGCGGGAACCCCACAAACTTTTTTGTTTTGTTTTAAGTTGGGGGGTCCCTCCTAACATTCTACCAGACCTAAAAGGTCTGACATGAATTGGGGGGGACCTCACACTTTTTTTTTAATCTTCTGCAGACTGTAAAAAAAAAAGTATTTTTTATTTCCTCTAATGTCACTTTGCTGCAACGAAAATTTGTCCACAAACGAAAATTCGTACAGACTACCACTAACGAATTTCGAAATCGGAAATTCGGATTCGTTTGCATTCGTTATTTCTGTAATTCGGAATTAGGACACATCTGAATCTCCGAAAAACCATCCGAATAACAAATCTTCCCGAGACTAATCACACGTGTCTAATTTGAGGGCAGGTAAGCTTGGGACCATTCCTCCTTAGGTGCAAGGGTTTACTAGAAGCTAAGCACAAAGGCAGCTGAAGACAACCAGCGTTTTCCTGTGCCGAATCCAGCAAGCTAAACAAAAATGGCAACCCCTCTAATCACTTTATAAGTAGCTTTTCAAAGCAAAGTGGATGTGGAAAGGGCTTTTCATGCTGTGCGGGGAGTCTAGATGGCAGCATCCAAGGTGGGGGATAATTGGTTCTATGGGGAAGGACTTGTAGGTCACTGATCGTGTCTCAGAAAGTTGCCTCTAGGCTGAATAGTTCATATTTGGCAGTGGTTCCTGTAGACAATGCCGGAAGAAAAGGTTTGCCTTAAACAAGAAGATTTTTATTGTAAATGTCATCACAAATCCCCAAAAATAGCAGATTATTTTTTTATTTAAAGAGTATGTGGGTCAACAATACACTTGGAATTACTGGTATATACAGATACAGGCTGTAATTACAGGAATGTTTATTCCAACTTGCTGTTTCAGGATATTTGGCCCTCTTCAGTGTAATGTACTGTATGGAACACATCTATGATGCAGGGCTTGTGGCAAGCGGGAAGTATCTAACAAGGATAGCTAGCATGGTCAAAAGGAATCTTAAGAGCCTCCATCTAAAGCAAGGCCAAGTGCACTATGCCATCTTATGGTTTTCAAGGAGCTATATAACCAATGTCCCTTCAAATGTATAGCTGACCCCAAACTTTACTGAGATTTTTCTATACTTGTCCGCATAAGCCCCCGTTGATGCTCCTCATACGTGCCAGCTTGTTACTAGTTATTAGATACTACATGGATATATACTATTATTACAACTCTGTTATATTGCCCAAAAGGATGCTTTGTTTTTGGTGAGTCATTTTGGGTTTACTTGCTTCTGTACTGATGTCTTGTCTTTTGCTCATTACAGGCTGCGCCTTCCTTACATACTGTGAACGAGAATCGGCTCTGAAAGCTCAAAGTGCTCTGCACGAACAGAAGACTCTCCCTGGGGTAAGTCAAATGCTCTAGTTCTACTACAAGAGCTGGATTTTCAGTTATTGGACCAAGCAATATGCTGACCCCTGATATCAGTACAGAATGGGAACTGTTATTTAAAATGCAGCGGATTTGGAAATTGCCTATGTCTCTAATCCAGAGCCATTTCTAAAATATGGAAGGTTTCATCTCTAAATATCACTCCCTCTTCTTTATAGATTTGTACCCTACCTCTGTAAAGTCTAGTAGAGGTGGAATTTCTTCAATGCTGAACTCTGGCCACAAATGTTTTCTGCTTTAGCGAATCAAATGTCAAGCTTATTCACGTATATTATTGTGCCTTTGGTCAGAACGGCAGCATAAGCCTTAAAAAATTGAGCAAACCAAAAAATGTAATAATGCAAACAAATTTTTTTTTTAAACTAGTCTGAAAAAAAATTGTAAAGGCTTTTCGGATAACAGATCCCATACTTGTACTATCGGGACCTATAATACACAAGAGATGTATCACTTAATAGCATGTGATTAACTCCTTGAGGTTTCTGTTCATTGTTCAATATGTCTAATTTGCATGAAAAAAGGAAAAGATGGTGACTGTATGGACCCAGCTTAGTCAGTCATCTGCTTTTTGTATTTGGTAATGTTTCCAATGACTTTTGGCCTTGTTGGGTAGCAGTGATTGGTCAAAAAGGGGTTTTGAGTTTTATTTGCTTGCCTATAGATTCATGTGGACGGTATGGAAGTCCAGATGAAATCTTCTGGATGTTGTGATACATTGATTTGAAGCTGTGCGTTATGTTGAAATCAAAGATGTTCTACCAAATTAATTCTCACATATTCAGTGAGTAAAGAAATATGTCCAAAGTAGATCAACCCAAAGAAACCAATAGGAATTAATCTCTCACTGACCTTAGCTCAGCAATTGTCATTGGTTGCTTTGGGATACGTTACCATGGGCTCAATTCACAAAGATTTAACACAAGGATAAGGACTTGTAATTTAGACATGTGACTCTAATCTCATTGGACTCAACTGATAACAACTGTCACTTTAACAAAAAAAAATAAGGAGCCTTATCTTGGTGTGTTAGCTTTGTGAACTAAGCTTCATATGTTTTACTGAATTTGTAACACTTTTCATCACTGGCTATACCACCACCTTACAGAAAATACTCAAACATCATTTCAGAGGTTCAAGTTCCAGGAAAGGTCAACCCAACTGTTTAAGCTTGTGTCTCTGAACTGTAATTGGTTACGATTTTGGAACATTGGACAGCTTGGCTTAGAAAACTGCAGTTTTTGTGGCTCAGGTTGTGCATTTATTAAGGTGTAGATGAAGTTAGGGAGTATAATATTATCACTTGAGGTAATAACGAGAATTATTGAAACATTTGCTGTAATATTAAAAATTATCAATTATTTTACATGAAACGTTTATAATTTTGATGAATCGTTCGAAAATTTGGTGGTAGTTCTCAACAGTTGGTAAGGTCTCATTTCTTGGACTCACATAAGGTCAAATTTTAGTGAAACTGGGTGGGGCTGGAAGAGGAATAAGCGCATGCATTTATATGTTAAAACTAGATATGGTCTTGGAACTTAGGAAGAGCGCTAATGCTTGGATATGTTTTGCGTATGCATCAATTAAATGACCTTGGTTCTCAAAAATGATATGTGAGGAGGAATGATAATAGAGGAGGAAACAATTTTACCGGGGGGTAAGTATTTATTAAACTAAATATTTGGAGGCAGAGATGTTCTGGTACAGTTTCCTCATCATTTTCTACTGAACTGATAGGCTAAGTATGGGTTCCACCCATAAGACTGCTGCTAAATATTATGCGGCGGAGATGTTCTGGTACAGTTTCCTCATCATTTTCTCCTGAACTGATAGGCTAAGTATGGGTTCCACCCATAAGTCTGTTGCTAAATATTATGAGGCGGAGATGTTCTGGTACAGTTTCCTCATCAGTTCCTCCTGAACTGATAGGCTAAGTATGGGTTCCACCCATAAGACTGCTGCCAATATGTCTGATTGCCCACTCTAAGGAGCTAAAGGCTTTTTTAAAGGCCTTATCAACTTCTTTAGTAATTATTTTGATCACTTTAGGATAATTTGTCAT